AGAAGCCTCCATTCTGCCTCAGTTGTGGCCTGACTCTCACCCTTTGCCATCATTTCCAGAAATATCTAGGTATTTACAGACACAGAGCTTGTACTTTGTTCTCTAACCCTTACCTAATGCCTAGATCTCTTCCAACACCTTTGCATCCTCATTAGCCTGGCAACAAGCAACTCCTCACCATTAGCATCTATCATCAATTGGGCTAACCCTAAAAAGACAGAGTGAAAACACTGCGACACTGCTGCATAATGAAGTACAGTCAGAAAAAGGAGCCAGGGTCACACAGCCAAGCAACTGAGAACAACCCTGGTTTGCCATTAAATCCAGGCTGCAAATTTCTCATAGAACATAGCTTGCAAAAATTGGCTACTGATTTGCAGCAGCCACTTGCCATGAGATCCCTGACCACAGCTCTGAAGCACCGATGCTTCCACCTGGATTTGCCAGCTTCTCTCTTGTGATTTCTCAACCCATTTTTGCCTCTTCTGTTTTCTTCTCCCTGGTTGCGTTGTCCTTGTAGGAAGGTGCAAACTTAGGCTGTTCCATCAGCCTGCTGCTGGCTCAGCCTGAGAACATCAATATTCAAAACCCCAGACAGTGATTAATCCGTTCTCACAACTGTGACTGGAGACCCAAAAGGCAATTAAACTGGTACTTCTGGGTGGAAGGTAGTTTCACAATGCTTCCTCCAGATGGCCAGATTTTCTCAGGAACATGTGTTCCTGTTGATGGCAGGGCTGAACAACCGTACAGAGCACCGCACGAACAACTGTACAGCGCAGCCAGGGTGCTGCATGACTGTTGCTGCGTCAGTGGGTAGATTAGCAAAGGCTGAGCAGGAGGTGATCTGAGGCATTGCTGGGGGAAAACAGTTGGAGGCCACCTGCTGCAAGGATTGGCTTTTCTCTCCAGTTCACTCATCCACTTTAAAGTAAGAGCATGGTTGTGAGCTCAGCATCAGAGGGCTGCACCTTCCTGGGGTCTGGGAGGGATGGAGGAGCATCATGGGCCTGTGATTCCCTGGCAGGGCTGGCTTGGGTGCCCCACGGCTCGCTGGGGACAGGGTAGTGTCCATGTGGTGCCCATGGCACTAAGGACCATGAGTTTTTTAGTGCAAAGTTCTCTGAACACTCACCAGCTCCATCATGGTACTGCTGAGAAAACATACGCCTGATATTGCAGGGCTGGTAATGGTGGCATGTGAGGGACCAGGGCTTCTTGAAGACTTTTCTCTCCAGGAAGGGATAGATGTATTACAGCATGACCCACCTTCACCATTTTATTGAACTTCACCACAATCTGTGGGATTTTTTACCTGAAGCCCCCTCCTGCAGTAAGAAGGCCCTTAGGTTTCATTTTTAAAGAAAATTAACCCTTGCAGCTAGCTTGAGGTTTATGACCTTCTAGCAAAATTGAAGGAAAATGGTAAACAACTGCACAACATAGCAAATTTTTAAATTCTCATGACTTTCTGGGGCCAGACTCCTTGAAATCAGCATTGCCCTGATGGTACTTCCAGGAGCAGGCATGCTCCTTGAGAGTGGGTACTGGGAGAGAGCACCGGAAAAACTGCAGGGAGGGAGATGGCCTAAACTGTGGGGTGCAGAGCTCCCCCAGGGATGTGTTTATTAGGTGCTAGCTGTGTTTTGGGGTAGTTAACAGCTCCCAGGGAGGTCCAGATGAGACCCCATCCATGTTGGACCTGCCACCTGCTCTGACTGCACCCCAGTTGTAGCAAGCCTGTCTGTACAAACCAACACCCTGTAAATGCCAGGCAGAGGAGACAATTACCAACCAGGATGGAAAGAAGTTTAGTTGGACTTTGAGTCCAAAGGGGTTTTCTACACCTCGGCATGTGACTGAGTAAATAGCTCCCTCCCTTTGTCCCTGTTGTCACCCTTCCAGAGCAGCAGAAGCATTACCCACTGCCGTTTTTCCCAGCACAGCAGGGTAGTCTCTGGCTTAAATGTGGCTTTGAAGAGCCCAAGGACGAAAAGCTCAGCACTGGGCCAGCTGGCTGGGGGAAGCTTCAGGCAGGATTCCCCCTGCACAAGGGGGCAGCCCCGAACGATGCTCTGCCCAGTCCCATCTCAACATCAGGGCATCTTCCCCCCAGCCCGTGCTGCTGCTCTTCCCTGTTCAGCTGATCATAATTATTCCCACCCCCCACACTTTCCATTGCCTGGACACACAGCCTCTCCCAGCCGTAGGAAAGTGATGAACCTCTCTGTTCTCTTCTGTGCGGCACAAAGTCCAAATGCCACAGGACTATTGATCAATCCCTCACTAAACCCTCTGATCTCCCCTACCACACTGACAAGTGACATGCTGGCAGGCTCCTAAAGCAAAGAAGTGTATGTTGCCCGTGTCATAGTGGTACCTCCTGATTTACCCCTCTTGCTTTACACCAGGGCCTTGCCCAGCAGGACTGCCTGGCTCACCTCCATCCTGGCACCACAGGCTCCCCAAGGTTACACCACTCAGTGACAAGGCAAGTAACTGTGCTTAATGTCATTTAAACATTCCAGACCCCTTTTTTGCTCCTTTGCTCTGAGTTCCCTCCAGGGTGCTCCGGGAATGGAGGAATCCAGGGCCAACATCCCCATGGAAATAACTTTCCCTGGGGCAAACTGTGGAGCAGGGAGGTGAATATATCAATGTATAACTCCAGGACACAGTGCTCCCTGTCCCTCACCCACACCTGGCAATCATTACTGGGACCAATCCACCCCTGACCTCCGGAAATAGAGCAGAAGGGGTTGAAGACATTTCAACACAATAGCTCTGGGGCTGCTTTAGAACCACCCACCCACACAGACACCGTGGGGGATTCACCCTGCCCGGGCAGGACCAGGTGCCAAAATCCTTCTCCCCCCAGCTTCCCTAGGCTGGCTGGCTCAGCCCAGCAGCCCACCCTGTTGTCAAGCCTCTGGTCTCACCTCCATCTCTATTTGTAGAGTAAATAATTAACCTTGAATGCTTGGAGCTCGTTCAACAGTTTTCCCCCGCCTCTCTCCTTCTTTTAGATGTCCAGACATAATGAAAGTGCCGGAAACAGTGACGGAATCTCTTCTGGGAAGCAAACAGGTGAAGGTGCTGGAGATCTTGGGCAGGTGGGGACAGGCCTTTTTTTTTTTTTCATTTTCAAGAGCCCTTTTCCAGAGGGCAAAGGAGGATGGAGAGTGGTGCCATGCCCGGAGGGAGCCCCTCGGCCAGCACAGACGTGTGAGATGATGCTCCAGGCAGCTGAAGTGGGCAAGCTCACCCAGACCTCTGTCCTGTACAGCTGCCCACCCACCACCACATCTCCCTGGGATTTCCTGCGGCACGGAGCTGCTCTCAGTTTCTGTGGATCACGCCTGTGTTATCCAACCTTGCTGCAGAAAGGATCAGTTCAGTCAGTAGCAGGGTGCGTATATATTCTCTTTCCTTGTTCTTGGTCTCACATCTTACAGTCCTCCTTCGCTGGCTCTCTCCACCGCACAGCTCACCCCTTTGATCCTCACTGCCGCTCTGCTCCAGCCACAGAGCCCCCATGCAGGGTTTGAGCTAGGGACTTGTCCCCCTTCCCACTGAAATCCCTGGAAAATGGGGTGTCCTCCTCTCCCTCCCACCCTCCGTATGGGCTGTGATGGGGTTTGCTCCTGAGCAAGGCAATGAATGATTAAATATTCCCCTGAGACGGAGCGGGTCTGAGCCCCACTGTGTGAGAAGCTCAGCAAACCCACAGGAAGATGTAATCACTGCAATTTATAGCCTGTGAAATAACCATGCACAAGGGAGCAAAACTCTGGCCAAACAGATTGAGGAAGGATGAGGTCTATTTCCAGAGTCCCAACATGTCTGCTCACTGCAATCATGCTTCAATCTCTGGCTCCTGTGAGCTGGACAGACCTGAGACAAGCAGTTCCTGGCTGACCTCAAGCAATAGCTGTTTCTAATGATTTAAACTGATCACTGAGCTGCCTTGAGCCTGCTGTGGGGAAATGTGGCAATTCCCATCCTCAGAGCTCTGCAATGTACAACCTCCCTGTGAACCGGACATGTTATCTGGTGACCTGGTGAGAGCTCTTTGCAAGGGTGGGAAAGCAAAACCTCTCCCTCTTCGCCCTTCCCAAGCACCTGGGTCGGCCCTCAGGGTGGGCAGAAGGGAGCTAGTCTGTCTGCAGCAGGACAGGAGCTGAGCAAGTGCAAGAGATGCGACTGCAGCCCAGCAGCACTGACAGGACCACTTCTGCTGAAATCTGAAACCTCCTGCAGCATCCCCTGCAGCTCACAGGAGCTTGCTTGGCTCTTGAGATACCTGTTCTTGGCACGCCAGGATGCAGTGCTCTGAGGCAGGATGAGTGACACGAACCCTCACTGCATCATACAGCCTCCCACGCTGTAACCATGCCGATTGTGGGGGGTTTGATGGAAGGGGCTAGGGGCAGGCTCAGCCACCCTCCGGGGACCGCTCACCCCTGGGCCACCTTCCAGCAACGACAGGTCAGGGCTCGAGCAGGGCAGAAGCAGCAGCACAACCCCAAGCTGCCATACCCACATCAGAAAGTGGCAGCAGCTCGGTGGGACTCACAATGGGTTATCATTCCTACATGGCTGGAAAACTACCTAGAAGAATGGAAAATAAAAACATACCTTGTTACCAACCAAAATGGTACATTTACACAGATTTCAGCATCTCTGACGTTTAGTGATTCCGCGGTGCTGGAGAAATAGCTGTCACTTGCCTGATTTATGGAGTTAAGCAGAGCTTTCCAGAGCTAAAAGCAGGCCAGCACCTGGTATCTGTGGGTAGAGTGTTTCTGTAACTACAGGCTAGAACAACTTGCTCTGTCCTTGTATCAGGCACAGGAAAGCGATGGAGCAGATTTTCAGTCCAGGACTGACTTTGGAGACACAGTCATACCCTGTTATGAATATCTCGTCTAATTCTGCTGTTCTATGCATTTCAGAGATTACTGACAACCTGTTTGGAAAACTCCTTATTGAAAGACGAGATGAATAAAAATACGGAGTTAGACCCAAGGAGCATGACCTCAGAACCAGCCTCTCCAATGAAGAGTGCAGAGGAGGAAAAGGTGGAGGTTGCCTCTGAACTGAGCAGCCCAACTTTGCATAGCAGGGACAGTGGGTTCTTTGAAAGAGGTATTAAAACAATGTTAAGCATCCGGAAATCAAAACGAAGTCTGAACAAAGAGAAAGGAAAGGAAGGTACTGGCACTTGGAAAGGAAAATCACTTTCTTTTCGATTCTCCAAGAGCTATGAGGAGAACAAAACCACGATCTGTAATGGTACAGAGGAGATTGGTGAGAAGATAGAAGCAGAGCCCATTCAAGGAAAACCTCTCTCAGGTAAGAAGCAAAGCCACTAGTATAATTCTCTCGGCAGGTTATATCTAACCTTCAAGTAATTTACACTTTGCAAGTCTTGGGCCCAACAGAGGTGCTAAAGAACCGGGCATCCCCTTACAGATCAGAGACAACTGTCACCCCTTGCACAAACTCGTCGGGGTGCTATCTGGCCCAGCCTGGGCAGGCTGCCTGTCACTGAACATGCTGCTCTGTGGCCTCCACTGTGTTAGTTTAACCATGTCAGCAAACTACCTAGCAACCTGTCGGCTCATATCAGCAGACATATTGCCCATCATACATACCAGTCACCAATCTGCTGAGCACAGTTTGGGAACTGCTGGTCTGACAATAGCTGGAAGTGCAATGTGGGCTATTCTTACACTGTTGCCTGCATTGCACTCCCAGACAATTTATCCTCTTCAGCTCTCAGACTGATGGTCCCCAGACTGTACTCTCTAGGTTGCAGCAAGATCTTGACGGGGAAAAAAGATGGTCTGGATGTGATCTGGTTTGGCACCTCCACCTTGTTTTGTTTCCTAATCTTAGAGACTGCTCTGCAAAGAGACCTCCCCAGATACTTTGCTCCCTCACACTGACTTTCCATCTGTTCTTCTCACAACAGTGATGCTGCAAGTATTTCTTTGGTTTGTTTTCCTCAGGCTGGCTACTCTCATGCATTTTGTCAGGATTATGTAGACAGGTCTTAGTGAAATTATAATGACTACTTTTAGGATAGCTCTCACCTTTACCCAAGTGTGGGCCGACTACAATGACTTTGGTCTTGGTTTGAGCACTGTTCTTCTCCATCTTCTCAAGGCAGAGGTACTGCAATGCATCCACCAGGAGATAGACTGAAATGGGTCAACATGGCTTGACCTTTCCTCAGCCTGAATTTCTAGAAAGAAATTCTTAGTCGACTGCGTAGGATGTTATGGGGATCAGATAGAAGGGCTGACATTGTCTCACTGCTGTAATGTGCTCTACTGTGCCATGAAGTTATTTTCTCCCTTTCACTGATACATTATGAGGTTGGTAAGCTGGATCTGAACCCATCTCATAAACTTTGCTACTCTGTTCTTGAAGGTCATAGATGAGGAGCAACAGGAAATGTTACCACAAGCCCTTTTCATCTCCTGCAATAAACAAGCTGGGAAATTGCATGAATAAGGCCCATCCTGTGCCCAATAATTCTCAATTGGCCTAGACTAGAGCAGATCTGACAGAAACAAATCCCATCCTGAGATAAATGTGACAAGCGATGGAGACTCCATCATGTGCACCATTAAGCTGCATAATAGTTAATTGCCTTTCAATTGTCTTCCTTCAACCACCAGCTGGCTGATCTTGTATTGTTAAATTAAAGATCTATTTAGCACCCAATATCACCTCCCTGAATAATTATCCTAGATGGTGATTAAATGGTGTTTTCTCACTTTGATAAACAGAACAGAATGTATTCCTTTAGTCTTTCACTGTAAGCACTTGTGCAAACACAGGTTTCGTATTAATTTATCTAGAAGAGACTAAGTTAATTGGCACAGTCTCTCTCTCCTTTGAGTGCAGAAGCAACTGTAGCTCCATATAGGCACTCAAAGCTCTATGCATTCTATGCTGCATCAATAATTGGATCATTTGGTGTATTTCTGTCTTCATACAGATATGCTTATGCTACACAGGTTATTTGGTGCATATGGTATAAAATCTGTGTGCAAACAAACCCAAGGACATTAAATTATGGCCTATGAACCAGTCATTCATATCTTCTTTGAGTGCTCTCCAAATTTTCCATATCATTTTATATGCACGTATTGGTCCCAGAAACAGTGGCCACACATGCCTAAATAATACCCTTCCCCTTCTCCTCTTCAATATTTGCCTTATGCCCATTATCACAGTGGGATCTGCTGTTCAGAGCATCTGTTATGATTCTGGAGATGGTGAGAGCTTTCTAGGGCCTCCCAAAATCTACCAGTGCTCTTGGATCTCCTCAATACATGGCAAATACTTATAGAACTGGCAAATAGACAGTGGCTCTTGCATCAGCAAGACTTTGAAAAATAAATTTAAACATTGGTAGACCTCAGCCACTTTGAGGGTAACAGTATTTGGTGACTTTCCCCCAGCCTCAGCCAACACCAGCCAGTACCAGGAGTGGGTGACAAAGGCAAAGGAGGTGGGGAAAACCCACATGAGACTTGAGCACCAAGGGAAAGCACCACCAGATTTGGATCCCCCTCCAATACACACACCTCCACAAATCATCCAGGGACAGCACTTGAAAAACAAATGTCACTGGTGAGAGCAGAGCTGTGCTGAGCACACTGGTATGCTGGGACACAAGGACACCAGTGCTAAAGGAAATCCTGCTGGTAGGGTATATCCTCAACTGTCCCCACTACCAGTCCCACTTCAGCTCCACACTAAGAGGGGCAGAGACAGTTTTGTGCAGCCTGAGACCCATGTCCCTCTCTGCAGCCTCATTAGCCATTGCTCGAGGTTTTCCTGCAGGGCTCTAATCAGTTTTTTTGATATTTCCTACCTCTGAAACCACCAGTTCAGAGATGTGGCTCAATTTGCAGTGATTACATTTCCATTGCTTTCCTCTCCTGCATCAGGCAGGAGCTGGAGAGATGGGGGAGGGGGGGGGGGGATCAGTCTCAGAGGCACTGCTGGGACCTGGCTACTCCGAGCAGACCCAAAAGCCTCCCTGGGGAGCATCTTGTTCTGTCACCAACTTGTCAATCACCTAACGCCTGCTTTGTCCCAACCCATTCCCCGCTTCTTTCTGCAGTAATGGAAATCAACGAACTTATTCAGAAAAAGCAACTTTTGGAAGCTTTTGCAAGCATTAAGTACTTGGAAGATGAGGCTATCGCTGAACGGGATGCTGAGAAATACAAAGATAACCCCCAGGAGTTTGTACGGAAGTCCAAGGATGTGGATTTGCTTTATAACTCCATCACGAACACCATCCAGTCCATCGTGGTGGCAACACTGGAGCATCCCACTGTAGAGGACACCATGCTGACCTCCCTGGTGACTTTAATTGCCCGTGAAGAAGCAGCTCATCCTAACACAGACAATGGTGCTGGTCCTGGGTCAGACTTACTTGGCACACCCAGAAAGTGGAGGGAGGAGTGGAGGGAGGCTATCAATGAGAGTGCTAGAAAAAGAATCCTGAGGGTACCCATGGCATCAAAGGAAGAAGAGAGTTCTTGGCTTGATCTCCACTTGGGTTTCCTCCAGAAACACCTGAGTGAAGACTTACTGAAAATCAAGTTATCAGTAAAAAAGTGCTATCCAGAGGAATATCGGGTGTGTGACATATATGTAGAGGCTTTTCACAAGGCCATTGCCTCACACTTGCAAGAGCTCTCCCAGAGACCACTGGAATTCAACGAGCTCTACACCTTGCTTGACTGGGTGGCCAACATCTACCAAAGGTAAGATGCTGCGTTTGCCATGATGCTTCAACCTCCCCCGGAGAGCGGCAGGACCACAGCATGCTTCAAAAGCACCAACCTGTTTTCAGTTTCCTGAGCAAGCAAGAGAGACACAGTCGCTTCTACAGTAGAGCCAGATAGCTAATCTATTAATAGATGGGACAAAGATTTGTGGAAAAAACACTTGCTGCTTTTCACAGATCTAAATTGCCTCATTTTCCCCTCCCTCTCCCACTTGCTGTTCTCACATGCCAGGAATCTCCTCCTCACACCTCTGATAAAACTGCTCCCTCTCGGCAAATATTTTGCAAGGTCCAGCAGCTGCTCAGTAACTTTTCTAGGCACAGGGAGGGACCTCTGGGGGACCCCTGCCTTCTTCCTGTTTAATTAAAACTGTGAAGGGTTTGGAAACAGACGACATTCCCCCCCGCCAATGCTTAGGGGTCAGACTCATCTTGAGGAGGCACCAGGATGCCACAGTGAAATTAGACACATTAAAACAAACGCTCTGTCTCAGACGTGTCCACTAGTTGAATGGGAGGTCCCTGTTTTTTAGAACCTCTTAAATCCCTCTGTAATTCAGGGGTTTCTAAAATATTATAGGAGCTATACAAACATATTTAACATCATCCCCAGGTCACCCTGTGTGTGGGGGAGTAAAGGCAGAAATTCTTCACAGCAACAGTAAGAACTGTGCTGCTGGACATTGCCTCTTTTTACAGCCAAAGGAGACATTTAAGATAGACACCTATGTAAGGTCCAGGCATTGTGTGTCCTCAGTTGTTTGTTGGGCTAGACTGCAGCCTATCATCCTGGCCTCAAAGAGCTCCCAGACTAAAACCCAACAGAAATATGCAGTGGGGTGGGAAGGAGGAGAGAGGCAACATCCACAGGAGATTTGTCTGCTAACAAGCATGTAAGAACAGCCATGACAGGGCAAAATCATCTCTGCCCCAATAGCTGGTCTCCAGGAATGGCCTGAACCAGATGGCCAAGGATGGGGCAAATGCACACCAATTGACTTCCCTCAAACAAACAAAAAAAGGAGTGAAGGCAGGAGTATCAACACTGAGTCAAACAGTGGACAAAAATGGGCAGGGAGGGGGCAGTGCTGGAACAGGTCAAACAGCAGTGACACTTGCCCAGAGCACCCCTAGCCTGGGGTGGCTTTTGGCACAGGGATATTTGGACCGCAGATGGTCTTTGCTTTGAACTGCCCTCATCTGATTTATCCTGTGAGCTCGCTTAGTTGCTTCTAAACCCCCATTTATGGTGCGGTGACCCTGATGACATGTGTATAACTCAGCATCTTGGCACTGGCTGACCAGTGTTATGGCAGGACCACTATGGGAATGACACTGGCACCCATTGCCCATCTCCCTCGTGTGTCCCTGCCAATCTCATCTGGAGGGAAAGTCCTGCATGTCCCCAGCCCCTGGGAGTTGTACTGAACCCCAACATTGCAGCAGCGGGGAGGAAGAACCAAGCTGCAGCAGCCAGGTTGTACACCAGAGAAAAGTGCCTCCATCGTATTTCTCTAACTTACTGTGAAAGAGTTCATTGAGAGCTTGCAGCCGTTTGGGGCGCTTCCTGCAAGCCCCTTGCTGGGTTGGGCTGTTTCTATTTGATTTTCCCATTCCAAAAGAACTTCATCCCCTCTCGGTATCCAAAAAAAAGAAGAAAATGTCTTACCTAAACTCATTATTAATGTTACAGGTCAAACAAATAGAAAAAAAAAAAAAAAAAAGAGAGAAGAAGGAGAATAAGCTCCTCAAGTATACATCTGAGACAGTCCTCTCAGTCACAGAGGAGAGTTCATGTTTAAATCTGTGCTGTCCTTTAATCTGCTGCTCCTGCAGCAGCTGCTCTGTGCAATGCTCCACATGTGCAGAAGTACCTCTCTGGGAAATCTGAACCATTATCACAGGAACATTGATGCCAGGACACTATCAGCAGGCTGAGCTTTTTTTCCTGCTGAGCAGCCACTCTGCACCAGCCTGACCTTGTACAGTACAGCCCTCACTTGGATCCAAACCTAACTGGCGCTGGTTTGACAACGGGACCCCTTTTTGGTGGATGGGCAAACGAGCCGGCTGTGTGCAGGTCGTTGCAGCTGTGTTCCCTGCCAACCAGGTGACTGCTTGCAACTTACGTCCCACATTCATCAAGTGCATGAATATTTTCTTCTTTCCCCCCCTCTACCTTCACTGCCCTGAAAGATGCAATGTCCGCGGCAGATCGCAAGGGTAGCACATTCAACTCTCACCCCAGAGGGAGAAACACAAACACCCACTCCCTTTCCCTGCCTCCCTGCTAATCAGCTGGCCTGATTACACGGCAATCCAGAGGAAATCGAGCGGTGAAGTTGTGTGTCAGCTGAGCGTACTTCAGAGCCGGACTCTGCAGCGGCACGTCCACCCACCGCTTCCATCGGCGGGGGAACTGCGCCGCTGCCGTGGCCGGTGGCCCAGGCATGGGGGTGCCTCCCCGAGGCTGCCCTGCGCCCATCAGGACCTGCTCTGCCACCCCCCCCCCCCCGAGGGATAATGCTCAGGGCAAAATAACAGGCTGACATAAGCCGCGATGTGACACCGGAGAGGAGCCAGGGAGATCAGCTAACTACAAAGCAGCACGCTGCTACAGGAATTACCCTGAAAGGCATTTCACAAGCTCGTAGTCAGATGAATCAGCTTCGGGTTGTTTATTTAAAAAAGTAAATTCTCATAGCACTTTTCATGTCCAAACAAGTCAGAAGTCTCATGATTTCTAAGGTGGGCTGGAACCTTAGATCATTTTGATTTTGAATAATTAGGATTTTGAATAGCGAGGAAAGATTTTCTTGTTAAAGCTTGAAAACAAGCATCGCAATTTAAGCTTTAAGTGTATTTCTCACGGCTTAATAATTATGTAGCTCATGCCACATGAATATTCCATCAGTTTACTCACGCTCTGAGGCAACATAATTTGTTCTTTTGAATCTTTCCAGTGAACTCTTTCTGGGTCACCCTGATCTCAAACCAGAAGTTAAGACAGAAAACCTGTCCCTGCTGTTAGCACCAGCTGATTGGGAGAAACTGAAAAATGACTACATCACTTCTGCAAAGGTGAGAGTTTTGACCTTGTCCCCACACGCCCCCCGGGGAAGGTATGGGAGCCTCCCGGGCAGCGGTCTTGGATAGCTGCGTTGTGGTTTCTTGCTCCACCAGGTGCTCAGTCCTGCCAGCTCCATGCAGAATGGCCTTTAATCAAAAGCAAAAAAAGCCCTGAATACCAGTTCAGGGATCGAAGCAGGCCATGGGCCTGAACCTGGATGATCACATATCCAAAGGGACTGTACCAGACCCTTACAGTATGGCAGAGGCTTACTGAAAAGTCATAGCTGGGCTTCATCAGATTGAGTGCATTGCAAAGCTAGATGTAAAGGCATTTTAGCTGCGACTTTCACAGCGTATGATCTCCTCCAGCACATCTGAAGTTTACTACAGGACAGCAGCTTTGGGCATGTCCCCACCAGAGGACCTCCCCCTGGTTCAGCTTCTCCTAGGAAGCCCCTTCTGCAGATGTCTTTCTGCTGTCCTTGGCTGGGACCCCGTGTGAGACTATATGCTTTGCTGGGCTCAGACATTTTCTTGCAAATGATTTCTGAAACAAGGCACTGCTCAAGGTGAGTTCAGGGTACCCAGCTGAATAAAACTGGTATTGCTCCCTCGTGCTGGTGAAGGATCATCGTGTTTCACCGACAACAAGATTGATTTATCAGCCAGGACTGAACAGTGCTGCTACTTATTCGAGTGGCTATACTGCCAGAAAGAACCAGTTTTATCTTTAATCCTGACCTTGTTCGTTACACGTGCTAGAGGACTTTGCAATCAAACAAACAGCTGACACAATATTTCTCTGCCAGGAGAATGATTCTCCCTTAATTTGGGAGTACCTTGCCCTTACACAGCACAGCTCCTGATTTTTCCCAAGATCCTGGGTACACCCATGGGGTCTGGAGCAAGACCTTTGCCTCTGCTTGCCTGTCCACACTGCACACATCAGTCTTACACACCTGTCGATGAAGCAAAACTTGGTGAGCCACTTTACTCATGCTTGCTTCCTTATCCTGAACGGTACGTTTCCTTCCTACGTTTAACATTTAGGGGAAAATCAAAAGCTATTTTGGAAACATCCTGAGACTGGAGGTCATGGAGAAGTGGGAGAAGGAAGTTCATCCAGAAGTGAAGGAAAACCTCTACCACTCCTCGCTCTCCTTTGATATTCAAACGGTATTTAACTAGCTGGGACAAAGTGCGGGGGAGGGCTCTGTGGTTCCAGGGAAACTGGATCGTTACCTTCTGGGGTGGAGGTACCGCCTCCTGCAATAATTTATGTTAGTCACGCACTGGCAGAATACATTAGAGCAGTAAATGCCATTTATTACAACTTTTAGCTCTCCCGCTTGCCTTCTAGCTGCAAATTAAACCTGCTGTCAATTGTGTCAGCAACATAATAGGCAACTGATTTTAAAAGTCCTTAAATCTCTTTGATTAGAAAGAAGAAAGAGAAAGGAAAAAAAAGAAAAGGCGGAAAGAAAAGGTTTGTTAGAGAAACCCCTTGGCTGAAAGAGTGACTTTGTCCCGGGGCTGTGACAGCTGTGGAAAGGCCGTAGGCAGTGACAGCCACTCCAATTTAAACAGTACAAAAAACAAAAGCTCTTACTAGCTTTTGGGACTTCAGGGTAATAAATCCAGGAGGGGTTTAGATTCATTCTCCTCACTCAAATGGTTGAGTCATTTCAATTAAATAATATCAAAAAAAAAAAAAAAAAAGAGGAGAGTGAAAGAAGGAAAATCAAAGAGGTTTGCCTGCTACCGTGATTCTTTTTCCTCAGAGGAATATTACACGTTATGTGATCACTAGGAAGGCAGGTCTGAATTGGATTAGCAGATGGGTAGGATGCCTCAGGAAGCGCCAAAGTGGGACTGCAGCCTGCCTCACTCCGGAGAGGCAGCCGGGGCTGTGGGAATGGAAATTAGGGAGGACGCCCAGTGCAAGCAAGATTTGGGGGTGATACCCAACCCTCTGTGTGGTCTTGGTATCACTCCTGAGAATGGGGCTTGTGTGGGACGCTAGGGATAGTGCTTATAGCCACCTTCAGCATGGAGACGTGGGGACAGTTCAGCTCCCCTTGGGCACTGAGTTGGGGATCCATCCCTCCTGCAGATCCCCCCCAGAAGAGGAGGATGGCCCCCCAGAAGAGGGGGCAGCTTGGGGCTCCAGTCAACACCACGTCTAACATGCTCAGACAGCAGAAGGACATGGGGCTATTAAGGATGAATGATTATGCCACAAATCATTTCGTGCCTCTTGGCCCATTCTGGATTATTATTTTTAAAACTGCCAGAGAATAATGAAAACCACCTGGCAAAAAGTCATCTGTTTCCCCCTTTGCTAGGCAAGTCATTTTTATTAACTAAAACTGCATGAGATTCTTGTGAAGGATGCTTTGCCCATGCTTGTCTCATTCACTGGAGTTTTTTCATGCCCTTTTCTAGATCATCGGGGAGCACATGAAGATATCTGGAGAGATCAGCAGAAGCCTGGAAATGAAAACACTTGAGCTGTGCCTGGCAGAGCTGCATGAATTCATACCAAGGTCATCACCGCTCTGGGCAGCACATTCCTTCCAAATGAGTCCCACACTGGTAAAAAAAGCAAGGAAAAGGTCCATACACTGGGCCAGAAGCTGGCACCAAGCAGGCATGGGCCTGCTCCTGGGAGAATTAGAGATCACAATGAGCCCAATAATGAGCAAGCTGCAAAACAACTTGGAGGGAGTCATAAACAGACCCAGATGGGACTCTTGCGAGTCCCAAAATCTGAGGTCAGAGCTCCAGGAAGGAGCTGCTGGCTGGAAAGGGACGGGACCACTGGGGTCCCATCCGTCTGGGACCTTTGTGGCGTTGGGTGCTGGTCGCTTGCAGCTGTAGCCACGAGCAAGCAGCAGTTATGCACACCCCAGATCCGGAGTCTGCTTGCCCAAAACATCATCTAGGTGTCCCAGGGTGAGTCCTGCCAAAAGGGTTTCCTCCTGCATCCCGTGGTTATGAGCATAGAAATGGCTCATGGGACACTCTCTGTTACACCCAGACAAAACATAAAGCCGGGCTGCCTTCTGAGTCTTTGTAAAAATATTTACTCAGTGTCTAAGGGACACAGGACCCTACACCTTTGCTGAATTAATGTTTTTCTGCTTGGCAGTTCCTGAGTTATGGCTTCAGATCTTATCCCCTGTAATGTGTTTGGGGGATGCTCCAGGGAAGGTTTTTGGCTCGCAGAGGGTCCCAGCACAGTGACACGCTGTCCGACCCCTCCCGTGGGGCTGTGTTTTGGGGGGTTGTTAGCTACTTGCCAGAGCAGCGATCTGCAGAGGCTGTTCAGCATGAATCAACCCCGAGCATGACTAAAAATAATTTTGCATCAACCTTTGAACTTTCCCACCTCCGGCAGGTGCTGGGTGGGGAGTTTGATAATAGACATTTTGCAGGAGCAAGGGTGGGGAGCTTGAGCTTTGCATTCTCAGATCATAAACCTGGGGCATGGCAGGTGTCCAAAGTGCTCTAAAGGCAATACTTTCGCTTCTAAACCCTCATCTCTAATAACCCAGTGATCTACACTTGTCTCCCATACCCTGAGCAAGCAGGGTAGTTCAATCCAGCTATTTGGCTTTGAAGTCTGCCTGAGTTTTTGAGAAGAAATGCAGTAGTGATGTTTCATTCTTCCTTTTTTTTTATTTTTTTTTCCCCCTTTTTTCTCCTTTTTTTTTTTTTCTTTATTCTCCATTTTTCTCTTTCTTTTCTTTTTAAATTTTTTTCTTTTTTGATTTTTTTAAACAGAATTAGTGTAAAATGCAATCTGGGACAGCAAGGGCTCCCAGATGAAAGAGTCACTGAAACTTAAGCTTTTTTCTTAAACAAACCTGAGATGCAAGCAGCTGAGGCTGGCCCAAACAGATTCCTTTACCCTGACAAATTATGGGACCACCAGGCAAAGCCTGCCTGAGCACGCAGCCTCTTGCCAGCAGTGCGGACCTGGCTGTAAAGCAGCTGTCAAAACTGTAAGAGCTGTGCTAAACAGAAAACAGCTACCTAACACACCATGCTGAGGTTACGGGGGAAATGTAGGTGTGCTGCCCCATTCCTATTCAACTTCTGTTGTGAAATTCGCCCTGAGGCAAATCCTTTCCTTGTGTGCTTAAGAGAGCACATGTTGTATTGCCCCAAAATACTGAGAAATGAAGGACCAGACTGATGAGCCTGAGTACCATGGCCACAGTTTATCCCTCAGCGTGTGGAAAAGTCAGAGATTCGGCATGCTGAGATCCCTGGCATCTCTCCAAAAGTGCTGTGTACCCTAAACCCGTAATTATCTGTCATCTATTCCCCTCTAATGCACATGTGTGTTGTGGCAGCTGGAAAAATCATGTCCGCATACAGAGGGGACAGGTTGGGACAGTCACTGGTGAATCCTGACATCGCCATCTATGCAGAAGATGAGCCATCCTTGGTCCCCCCCCCCCCCCGTAGCATTACCTGTGTGTCTTCTCCCACAGGTTCGGGGAGGAGTTTGTGGCATGGAGCGCTGCCCAGGACAGCCCCATCTTTGCACCCTATTTCGCTGCCTACATCAACAGCTTCCATGACCTGATGTAAGTCCGCTCCCCGCTGAGGCGAGCCGCCGCGTTGCCGGGGTCCAGGAGGGTGGCAGTGTCCAGAAAGAAAAGGCCAAGGTCTCCTTGGGGGGCTCAGCCTCCAGCCCTTACCTCACCAGAGAATGTTCCCCCAAAAATGCAGATAAAAGTCACAAGGGTGAAGAGACAGAAGTGGGGGATGGATCCGGTGCTGGCATGAAAGCTTTAAACTCATTTTCAGCCTCAGGGGAGGGTTTTTTTCATTTTTTGTTCTGGAGGTTTGCAGTATAAACCCAGGAACATTCTGAAGGCTGCTTTTGACACTGGGCTGGAAGAAACTCTGTGAAAGCACACAACCTGCAAATAAGCCCCTGCCATTGCTGCCGGTAGCAGGATCTTCCAGGGCTTTGCATGGGTTGCAAATTGGTTATTTAAAGCCGTGAGTCGAAAAGGCCCCTGATGAACAGGTGCGCCCACCGGCCCTGACTATCCTTCCAGTCCTTCCAGGAGAGGGGCTCTGTCCCCGTAAGCAGGACGGTGACAGCCGCTGTGTGTCCCAGGGTCTGGCCTATCAGCCCGGTGCTGTGGCACACGGCGACCTCGCAACTCCCACCCCGCAGCTGCCCACGCAGCCGCCGCAGCGTCACCGGGAACCGGGGCTGCTCCTACGGCACCTGCCCCGGGGGGATGGCCTGCAGCCACGCAGGGACATGGCCCGCCGAGGCCAGGGGCTCTTCGGCATCTGGGGTCGCCCCTGCCATGCAGACGGTGTGCCTCAGAGGCCGACCCAGCCAACCCACACGGGGCTAGCGCCTGGGGCCTGGCCTAAATAATAAATAAATATTATTTAGGGGCTGCAGAGGATTTGGCGTTGCGGTGTCTCCAGAGGAGCCGACGGCTCCAGCCGCAGCGAGCACTACCGTCGGGAAGTCTCTAGATGGCACGGTCTCTCCAGCAATGCTAACCTCACCAAGGAGCTAGCTGCCTTTCTCTGCCTCCTCCTCCCCCTGTGGAAAATTGCTCTCCCCTTCGCTGCTGGGGACTGGAGAGGTGGTGAAGGCTGAAGCCAGCCCCAGGAAGGCCACTGGCAGGAGTTTGGGTGGTGGATTGGCTCTGCTGGGTTTATTCCTGAATCGAGTTAAATATTTGTCAGCTGGGGGTGCTGACTTGCTGGGCAGGGGTAGGTGACCTAACAGCATGATTTAGTGGATGCTGGAGCCAGACGTCAGATGTTCGGCAGGAGTTATGGACCTGAGCCCCCAGCCTGGGGCGAGAGGGATGCTGTTAGGTGTTTTGTAGTTCTGCCTGGGCAGCCTCAGACATATGGGCTAACTACCAGGCAGCGGTAGGAACCCCCCCGTGCTCTGTGGTCACAGCAGTGCATCTAGCACACCCAGGGAAGCTCAGGGCCCACTAGCATTTTTGTGGTGCTGCCTTAATTCCCCGCAGAGCATGTTACAGCGGGGCAGGGATGGGGAGTGAGAGGAAAGCCAGGAGCTTGCAATGCCCCCCAGAGCCCACACATACTGCTGTGGATTTCATTAACCTCTCAGAAGTTATGTTTTCTTCCTCATTAGTGTGAAACCTTGCAGAAACGCATACTGTCCCTAGGAAATTCCACAGGTTTCCACCTCCCGTAGTTCACCGTCAGACGCTGCCGATAGACGCTGCGTGGAGTGAGTCAGCCAGGCCCTGGGGGACGCAGGGTCAGCAGCTTTCCCTTCTCTGCCTTTATGGTTTATTTCTTTCTTATCCCGTAAGCCCCTCAGTGCTCGTTCAGGTACCTGGAGATCATTTAGCAGAAGTGTTGCTCAAGTGAAAGAGTAACCAGCTTACGCAACTGGTCTGCATGGTTGAACCATCCCACCTTGATGAGGAAATGGTTTTTTAGTCAGTTACTCACTTGTGATTAATTTTCAGTGTATAGGAGTTGCAAAAAGAGTCATTATTTTGCCTCATTAAATGTTTCCAAGATTAATTATTAGATACATAAATTTATTTTAAAATAATTGTCAAGATACCAATCTAGATAAAAATGCAGTATAATAGTTTACATTTTAACATTAATACACTAGTGGTGTTTTTCTGTCTCTCTAGGTCAGGGTTAGAAACAGTGTTTAAAGTCAACACTGAGGAACTGCAGAAGATTTTGGCAGCTCTGACAAGGAACTTCACGAATATTTTTTTAAATAAATTAAGAACAAAAGCACAGGTAAGAGGATCTTGGCCACATTATTTCCTAAATATAAAGGGTATGCGCAGGACACTGCAGCATCTGAGGGCCATTGTCCTTTCCTTGTCTCACCAATTAGACCTCATTTTGCAGTGCATGACATTATGGTCCCTCCAAAATGCATTTTGCCAAATATTCATAGAAATCCTCCTTAACCCAAAGTGACACTTCCAGCATCCTGGGAGTTTTTCACTATGAGCAATGGTACATTTGCCAAACTGTTTACTTTAGTAGAATGGCAACCAAAAGAAAAGGGTATTTAGTGGCCTCTAGCATCTCAGGCAATGAATGCAGTGGGAGGAAACGTTACCGATAGTGAAGCACTGGGCAAGTCAGCTGGACACCACCAATGGGACATTTTTCATTCTATCGAAACATTTGGATTTTTCAGGACTTTGATTTACTCTTACTTATTTGTAGATCTGCCATCACAGTCTGTTATCAACCTCTTCAGACAGGACAGAATTCACTGTAGTAGAGGTGATTTTTCCAGGCTGTTTCCATGGTGAAGAAAGACTGATTCTTTCAGTGTGAGAATGTTAAAGCTCTGTTAACAGCTGATAAAGCTCCAATATCATCTTAACTTGTGTTAGGAGGCCTAAAAGGCAACATGCTGCAATGCAGTTTGTGCTTCCCAGGCATTGCAGAAGTGATTTTCTGCTCTCAGCCATCTGAAGGTCCACTAGCCCTAGCTGATATAACACAAGAGACAGGGGAAATTAAGCCTTTGGTCCCACTCCTTTTCACTCATCCTAATTCACTTTCTAAATCACCAACTTTCAGAAACCAGGACAGACACTCAACTGCTCCAATCTAAGCCAAGCCTGCCTGGCCAAGGGGACTTTCCAGTGACTGCAGAGCTTCTCTTGGAGCCTAAGGGGCAGGGGAGAAAGAAGTCAAGCCAAGGCATTGAGCAAGAGAGCCGAAATGCCGTGAGAACTGAGAGAAGCTGGGGCAGAACATTTGTAAACAGCCCTTCAGCAGGCTGGGAGCACAGCAGGGGGGCACAAATAGGGGAATAATTGGGAGAGAGATTTCCAAGAGTCTAAGGACAGAGATCCTGAGAGCTAAGAGGAGAAGAGTACAAAGGGGGATGTGCCAGAGAAGGAATATTTTGATTTTGGCTCTCAGGGGACTCTCTTCCAGGTGCCACCAGAAGCCTTTAGCAGCTATTGCTGTGTTTCTATGTGGAGGCACATTAGCTCTGGGGGCCTGGCGAGGGAAACAGGACACGGGAGACACTTGAACAGAGCACCTTGTACCCAGAGCAGATGGGAGACGGTGCCATCACTCCCGCATCATTACTGACCATGAGTCATGAAGTTGGGGATGTTCCCAGCTGCTATTCCACCACCACCACATCAGAGCAATGAGCAGAGGGAAAATCCCAGTGAGACTTTGTGCAAACATATGGGTCTGCAGGGAGCAGAGACAGCCCCCTGCAAGGGCTGTGAGCAAGAGGAGCTTGATTTCCTTGTGGAGAAGGCTGGAGGGGTGATGGGTTACTGGGCTAATTGCCAGCAGATTCACTACCAAGTGACTTTTCATGTCCATAGCTGGCGCAAACCCATGTAACAGTAGCATACATGGTTGTACACTACAGCCTGTTCTAGCCATGCCTGAGTTTCCTCTGATTAACGTTTACATCTGTTTCTTCATCCATACAGTAGGGACACAAATTTATTTACCTAAATAAATATAGCTGGTGGATTAGGAGGCAGCACAGAGCAAGGAAATGAGGTGTCCCAAGTAAGCCTTCAATGCCAAAGCATCTCCTGCTCAGGGAGTGACCCTTCTCCTGTCTGTGCTGGGGCGCCTACCCAGAAAGGGGACACGTGGGCCTGAATTCCTTGGGGTGGAGAGTGAAGCCCAACCTGCTCCGTGCTCCTGGTGCCGAGTTCCTGGTGTGTCTTCAGGCAGAGTGGACGCGCCATCAGTGCTCTACTTTTTTCGGTTGCAGCCCCCCCAGCAGGCATACAGCTGGGGGCCTTCAGCTAGTGCATCAGCTACTCTGAATATTACCGGTGACATCAGTGAGTTGGTCTTTTTTCAGCCACTCCTTAAGATGATCCTGACCAAGGACTGGATCTTGGCGACGGAAAGGCCAGACTCGCTGGCGTTGGCAGTCTCGCAGTTCTCCAAGCACCTGAAGCACCTGAGGGAGCCCATGGGTCAGGTAGGCAGCCGGTCCCGTGCCAGACACAGAGATGCTGGGGTGTCCCACTGTCATTCGCAGGCTGTGGTCCAACCTGCAGGCTCCTTTCCAGTGCCGGGGCGTGTTTATAACTGTGGGGACTGCTGATGCGGAGGAGTTCAGCTATTACTGCACCTACATGTGAGAATAAGCAACACCTTTCCTTTCTGTAGTTTAAATATGGGAACTAATTTCTTTAAAGAGTAACAAAACGCTTTGGTGAACATTACCACTGAACATATAATTCCACAAGTTGCAGGTTTATATACTCCTTTCACATCTATGCAGTTGTGAAATAAATGGGTAGGTGACAACAGCTCTATATTTAAAATCTGCAAGCACCATGAAAACCTACTTTTAAAATAATCCTAAATATCCCCCTTTGCTACTGAGAAGCCAAACTGCCAACACAAAATCATGGGCTATTTCATGGCGAGGTGTATTTCCATGGCATTCCCTTGGGCATTGCCATCCCTCTGTGCCAGAGCAAGGGGCTGCAAGCTGCCGGCTCCCTTCGGCAGGGCTGGCCTGGGGAGCATGTGCTGATGGTGTTCTGCCTTCGTGTGTCTCCTTGACACCCTTCGCTGCCGCTAAAGACCCACAGGCTTCCCCCGCCCCTCTCCCACTGCTGTGGCTTTGCGTGGGAACCACAGAAAAACCATGAGGTTTGCTTTGTTATTAACCAGGAGCTTCTACGCGATGTTCATAAGTATGTGGTGAAGAAATACATCATGCAGGTCATCAAACCCAGACGGAAAATGAACAGGGATACACGGCAGCAAGTGAGCGAAAAGATGAACCAGGAAGCCAGAATCCTTAATAACATGCTCATTGATCAGGTATGTGAGTTCCCTCCTGGCATCCCCTGGCTGCCTCATTCCCGAAGGTGAAATATCCTCCCTGGGCTTCCCAGGAGCTGAGGTGGCAGGCTCTCAAGGCGGGCAAGCCTCAGGAAATGTAAAAGTGCTTAAAAGAGAGTGAGCAAGGTGGTTACTGCAGGTTCATGGTGTGGACTCCCAGCCCGACAGCTACTCTGCTGTAGTGGTTTCTGCATGCTCAGCTGGCAGCTCTCCGGTTGCAGCGCCCGGTGTTTAAACACACTCCCAGGCCCACAGGAGCTTCGCACAGGGTGGTTCATGTGCTGTGGGATCACCAGCATCCCGTGGCAACTTCTTCCTGGGCCTGTTTTCCTTGGGCCGTGGGATGCACCTTGCCTCCGAAGGATCCCTGCCCTGGGTACAGCTCATGGAGATGTGTCTGTCGAGAAGATCCACCCAGGCACACAGTCTGCATACAGGAGGGTGATAGGGAGCAAATTGTGGCTGTTTGCGTGTTTTGTGACTAGGCAACATCAGTCTGGGGTTTTCAGGGAAGGCAAAGTTGAATTAATTGGATTTTGCAGAAATTCAAGTGGCCGGGGCCACTGAATTCCAGGGAGGCAGATGCCTCTCAGACATGAGACACACAGAACTATTCGGCACTGGGTGATGAAGTCTCTGGCATCTGCTGCTGTGCCTGACCACAGCCACATCGCCTCGATCGCCGGGGTGCTCGTGAGCATCAGGGAGCGCGGAGTCAGGCCCCAGCAGAGCTCCCAGGGGTGCCTGGCCATTGCCACCCTATGCCACCTCAGCCACCAGCCTGCTGTCCCCCCAGCAGCCCACTGCCCACCCCGGGGCAGCCCGTCCCTGCCCGCAGCAGTGCTTGTTCTCTGCGATGCAGGTAAAAAGGCATTTTGCGGGTGCTGCCCTCCCCACTGATGTCTCCGTATGCCTCCTCATTTGCAGGGCTCCGACTCTGACTGGCTCCTTCCCGCCATACACCACATTGCCAATATCATTGGGGAGAAGAAAAAAGACAAGATCAAGGAGTACATCAAGGAGCTGTGTCAGGATTACCCAGACATCAGGTACATGAAGCGGCAGATGCCAGAACTGCTGGGCTCCATCCCAAACAGCCCCAGCTCGCCCCATGCCTTGGCCAAGCTCTTCAGCTTCTCTTCTCTCCTGGTAGCCACACGTTAGAGGTCAAGGTGCTAGCAACAGGGGAAATCCCACCTTATTTTGCTTTCTTTATGGCTGTAGCCTTTCTCTTTTTCCCCCCTGACTCCTGGATCTTGTAGTGCACACATTATCTCAAAGGACTTTTCATTTTAGAATAGAATAGAATAGAATAGAATAGAATAGAATAGAATAGAATAGAATAGAATAGAATAGAATAGAATAGAATAGAATAGAATAGAATAGAGCAGAACAGAACAGAACAAAACAGTTCAGTTGGAAAGGGCCTGAAACAATCATCTAGCCCAATCGCCTGACCACTTCAGGACTGACCAAAAGTTAACATAAGGGCACTGTCCAAATGCCTCTTCAACACTGACAGGCTTGGGCATCAACCACCTTTTGAGGAAGGCTGTTCCAGTGTTTGACCACCCTCTCAGTAAAGAAATGTTTCCTAATATCAAGTCTAAACCTTCCGTGGCCTAGCTTTGAACCATTCCCATGCGTCCTATCACTGGATACCATTTTATTGCTCTAAATGAACCTCATTTCACTGTAAAGCTCCAGGTTGCTTTTCAGTGCATCACCAGTATTAGCCCAGCTTGCCAATCTGCAGACTCCAGCTTTGGAGCAAATAGTTTGGGTCATGTTCCCAGGCTCAGACCTCAAAGTGCAGCAGACATTCCACTAAATTTTGGAATAATTACAAATTCTTTCTTTTATACTTTCTGTTTGCTGTTCCAAAGCAGCATCTGCAAAATTTAAGGCTACTGAGAAAGTAAACAAAGTGACTAGCTCTGTGCATGGCTAAGCAGCTGCATATCAGAAGTCACCTCCTCTTCTACATCTCTTCTTCCAGACATTGAAAAAGAATATCAGTGGCACAGCTTGCAAAAAATTCCATTTCATTAGAGTAATTTCAGAAAAAGACCAAAAGTTTTTGCACTGGGTTACACAGTTCCTGCTGGATAACATTTATACAATCAAAATAAACCATAAATTGAACAAATTGCTCAGAACACTGAAGTGGACCCTGAAATATTCAGAAAAAAAATGACATTAAGTATTTTCCTCTCCCCAAAACTGAGTCTTAAAATTTTTCATAAGTATGCTTAACTTGAGTGGGTCAGATATGCTTTGGGCTTATATGTGTAGGGAAATTCAAACATGTGCTTGAAAAAAAATAATTGTTCCTGAGTCATTTCCTAGGTGAACATACCTATCCTACAAAAAAAATGCCTTAATCCCAGTGGCCAGACTAAGCTGATGAAGGAGGCACAGTGCCTGTTCTGGGAAGGATGGGGGAGGTAACTGATGGCTAGTCAGGTTTAGTTATTTGAAAACAATTTTCCAGGCAGAAAAGCCATTTACAAGGCTGTAATTTGTGGTACTTTTTTGCCATTAGCCTCAGACCCAAACTAGGTTTTAAGGCTCATCCTATTGGCTGATCTATTTCCTGGCTTTCCATTGTTGAGTAATATCATTTTTCACAATTAAGTTTGGAAAACGAGACAGAACCTGCTGGACCTGCGTTGCTTCCTGTTCAGGTCTCCGTTAATTCTTCCCCTGAGTTCTCAGAGATGTTGCTGAATTTGTATATACCAAAATTACTGGAACAGGGTATTTTTCCAGGTTGGCTTTCCTAGCTCTAATCTAATTAGTGCCTGTCAGCTTCCTAAATATTAGCACTTCCATTAACTCAAAATAAACATTAAATAAAAGGTCTGCAGCCTCTCGGAAAAACCTGCAAAAGACATCATGTTTGCATGGAGAGGGAGGAGGAAAGTCCCTGAAGCACCAGCAGCAGGAGGGTGTCCCAGCAGCACAGGGTGGTAGGAGCTGGTCGGTACCTCCGGAGGCTGCAGACCCCTGTCCTGGTGGCCCCCCCGGTGCGGTGAGGGGACATTCCCCGGTGCTTTGCCATGGCCCCGCGCCATCTCCAGTATGGCTGGTGGTTGCTTACCTCTGGGCTGGCTTTGCTCACCGGGACTGAGCGAGGTTTTGTTTGGTTTCTGCAGGAAGGAGCACATCCTGGCCGTGCTGGCGCTCCGGGGGCTGGGGCGCACCAGGAGACAGGCGATTTTTCGGCAAGGCTACCGTGCTCTGGAGAGCCCCGACGGTAGGGAGGGCAGAACACTCTTTGCTGAAATTGATGCCCCGGCGATCATCAGCTGCTTCTAGAACAGAACCAAAACAGCAGCCAGCAGCCTCCCTCCTCCTATGCTGCCTCTATGGTGTGATCCAAAATCTGCTACCCCACCTCGCTCCTCTGCAAACGCAGCTTTTTGACTGTTGTGGGAAAAGGAGTAGTTTTCTGAACTTGCCAGCCCAAGTTCAGAAACGGAAGGCAACAGACGAGCCAAGACACTAATCTCCTGCAAGAGCTCCCGGGCAGCAATTCCAGGCACTGCGTCCACCCTGTGTTCAATACAGATTTCATTGCTAGGAGGCTACTCTGGTATTTTGTCCAAGACTGAGCCTCTTTTCAGAGAACAGGAGAAAACTCAAAGGAGTTCACTCAGAGCTATATTAAGGCTTGGACTGTGCACTGCATAATTATACAGCAGCAGAGCAAGAGCCTCCTTCATAATTAGTGCCCCTGAGTAATCAAGGGGCAGAGCTTGGGCAGGGATGTGGTAGCGCCCAAGTCTTATTTCCTCCCCCCGTGAACCAGCTGGCCAGTCTGTCATGATACAAGTTTGGTGACGTGGTGACCTGGTGCCACAAACCACTACCTGCCTGAGGAGGAAAACCCTGGAGGGTAACCAAACCCCACAGTTGGGACACGTAGCACATGGACCGCTCTGCACTCCAGGATGGACCCTGTGGCCCTTCTAGTGTTTCAGAAGATTTTCCTCACTCGGGGGCTGCCTTAAAAACTCCTGTTGGACCACAGACCTGTTCATGCCATCACAGCCACTCAGTGTGGGCAGACGTTTCTGGATTGGACATGCCATGTGGAAGGAGGCTCCAAGTCCTCCTTCCCCTGGAGAAAAGGGTCACCATGCCCCTAGTCCATTTTCTTGTATGTTCAAATGTATTTTAACAAATCTGGTACAATCTGACTGTAGTATGAAGCCTAATGTGAGGTGGGCAGGCATAGTGCTACAGATCAGATCCTCATCTGGTGTAAACCAGCATCACACCATTGATGAGCATGGAACACCACTGATCTAACTCCATGAAGGATCCAAACCATCACATCCAGCATCTGCAGGGAAAAGAAAAGAGACATCCAGCAGCCTACGGCTGTGAAAATCTGATTTTGTTTAATCTAATTTATCCTTTAGGTTGTCCTCCGCAGAAATTAATCCAAGTGTCTGTAGAGAGACATGTTTACGATCTATCAATTAACATGATAAATGTGGACATGGCATAGCCTTGAACACTAATTTGTCTGCTGCAGAGCTTAGATCATCAGTAGCGAGCCTCTTTCATTCCCTTTGCTCCAGTTCACACCAGTATAAATTTCAGCCCAGTCAAGCAGCAGATGCTGGAAACAAGCCAAGGAGCTGTTCTGGTGCATAAGAAATAGAGACTGCACCTTTAATTCAGAGTCATCATATGAAAATTTTTATAGGGTAGACTAGCTACCTCCACAGTCAAGATGACATGTTTTTCTAAAGATGGCTTTAAATATCATGTATAAATTGAGAGCTTGAGGCAGGAAATCCTGGGAGGGATTTTCTGCCCTGCATCATTCTTCACTACAGCTCATGACAAGACCTGCAAATCCTCAGCTCAGTGATTTTCTGTATTTGCTATGGAGAAGGAGAAGTAAAATGTCATCTGCATCTCCCATTAGGTGTGCAGAGTTCAGGAACACTTTGGAGCATCCCTTCCCTGTCCTGTGGACATGGCGCAAGCAGGGAGCCCTGGATTAGACCCCCCACGGGCCTGTGAGCTACATCCCTCACCCCAGCAGAGGGAAAGGGTGTCAGTGCTGAGGGATTTTGCATTTAATGTCAAAAGCATTGACTAAGTGGATGAGATAAAAAGGGGCTTTCAACTTCTGCATCCTCAGTCTGAGACATTTAAGACGGGATTTTCAGAAAAATACAGGATTTGAGACACTAAAGCCTCAGCAGGAGGTTTTGTGCATCAGAAATTTCCCTCTGCCCTGTATTCATCTTTGATCCAAGCGCCCCACACAAGGCATCTGCAGCACAGAAATTTTCCCAAGTGCACTAAATGTACACTGGGTTTTCAATCTTATTATTTTACTGACAGTCTCTCCACAAAGCAGCTGTCTTTCCTCAGGCTCCAGCTGCCCGGCCCTGGGATTAAATAAGGCACTCAGCTTCCGTTTTCTAATAAAAGCAAGTTGCTGCCCTGAAGTCCTGGAGGAAAGCTGGGCACAATGACCTGCCTTTTGTCACAGCCTCTCCTGGGACACTTGGATCCTGCAGCCTGGCATCCTGTGAGCCAGCCATAGGAGCACAGCCTGCTTCCTCCGGGAGCTGCTGCTCTCCTGCTGCTTGCTCTTGAGAAAACCAGTTTAAGGTTAACCCCAGCGGGGCCAGGCTATGGTTCAGTCCCTCTCCTGCCCCAATAGCTGTGCCAGTGGAGTGGGAGCTCCAGGGCGGGTGGGGAGCAGGGGGATGCTCAGCCTGGGCTCTGAGAGCAGATCCTGGAGGCACCTGAGGAGAGAGAGGAAGGGCTGTGCTCTCCAAAACGAGCTGCTGCTGTCCAGCCGTCTTCTGTGAAACACCTGGTGTTCATTAGGATGATAAGTCACATTCCAATAAAAGAGAAGAAAGGCCTCCCAGGACTTTTATTGTGGAATATGTTGCTCTTGTAGGAAAGTGCCAAGGAGCTCACTTATTACCCTGTTAACTGCCTCTGTTGTTTCCCCGTGGTTTCCACAATCAGCCCTATTCCTACCCCCAGCACACAGTTATATTCCCCACTGGGAGACACGGCTCACTGACCCTGGAGGGCCCAAGCTACCAAGTGCAGATACACCCTCCAGTGAATAAAGCCTTCTCAAAAGTATCCAGCTACACAGAAGAGCCAAACTCACTACAGATTTAGCTTCTCAGGGGTGAATCCTGCATTTCAGGGGGGTGGAATCTGGCACAGCTCACAGCACTGTGTGGGTGGTGACAGTTATTTTTTTTGTTTCAGATGTCTCTGCTGTTTCACAATACCATTTGTTTCTGGTTTGGGGTGAAAAGCAATGTTTCCAGTACTCTCTGTCCACGGGAAGAGCGCCCGCAGTCGGGATGGCCCATGGGCTGGGGTTTGCCATCTGAGACCAGCCTTCTGGTGTCATCGTTTCAGCAATTTCAATCAGTGAAATTGTCCTTTACTGGAAGGAAGATACAGAAAACAGGCTTCCTCCAAGCAAGAACAGAACAATACCAAGACATTGCAGTGAAAGCACGGGAGGCTGTCCCTGAGCTAAGGATCATAATCAGGCAGTCAAAATATTCCAGAAAAAGCCTTTTAGTTCAGCAGCACTATAATATTTAGCTCCCTGCGATGTGGTATGTTTCAGCAAAGAACTCTCAATTGGGTTAAAATATTAAGGATGTTCAGTGAGAAGTGGATTGCAGTATTACATCCACTTTACGAGCTGGGCAATGTGGCTTGACACCACCCAGAAAACACATCTGGGAAGAAAAGAGACACCAGGATGTATCTCAGGGGTGGCTGAAAAGTAAAGTTATATCAGTTTTAGGCTTAACTACTTTGGTAATTATATATCACAGTTCTCCAAAGTACTGGTGTCTAGCAAATATTTATCTTCTGTATTTTGCATATTTCTCCATGAAATCTTGTGGTGGTTGGATTTACTGCCCCAAAGCCAATCATTTTTATTCTGTGGGCACTGGGCAGGTACAGGAGTACACTGCTCAGCATCACTGTGAACTTCTATCCCTTTAGGACATTTTTATGTAATACTTGTAATGGTGACATAACATTAGCATGGGGATTGGCCCACCTTTCCCATAAAACCCATGCAAGAGATCAGTCAGATTGCCAGAGCTTTTATTGGACATAGCATGTTTAAACTATTTACTATTACAATATAAGACAGTATTGGGAAAAAGTAAAGACTGATATAAAATAGTGTGTGGCAAAAGTGGATTAAGATTAACTTTTAAAGAACTACAGGAATCTTCCTCTAGTCCCGCAGCCACATAACTTACTATTCACCTGACAACACTGAACAAGCGTGAATTTTGTCTCCCTGCATTCATCCCTGTCACAAAGAGCACTGCAAAGAGCCTATAGTAGCCTTCCGATGTAGTACTCTCCATTTATATTTGTAAATTCATATTAAGTCATTCAAATACATTATCCCAGAAAAGGAGTAACCCATAAAGCAGAGAAACCTCCAGAAAAGGCTGTTGTAATATTTTTGCCATCTTGATACTACCAAAGTGAGATTCTCAAAATGGCTGTGTAAGGCTTTCTCTGTTAGCTGGGCAGAGATTACACCTCTTGCTAATGAGGCTGGAAAAGTGAATGGCAGATCAAAGATGAGCACCTAAGTCCCAAGATGTCTGACCAGGCATAGTTTATGTTTGACCATGCATGAAATTGTGCTTGGCAGCACGAGTAGGTCCATAGCCGGAGCTCTGGAACAAGCTCCATAATGGGCTTTGTTATGGGATGCAGGATTGTGCCTTGGTTCCCAGGACTGGGGGGACACTGGCATCAGGCTAGACAAAACTGCTTTTTTTGTAAATGGTGTTATACAAGTACAGAAAAAAGCAAATCAAGCCAGAAGGCAGAAAGAGGTGGTTTTACAGCTTGCCAAGCCATCCCCTGGCTGCACTCAGCCACTGGAAAAGGCCTGGAAAACTGCAGCTAGGAGAAAGATACTGATAATCAGAATTCTGTAAGCTTCATCCACAGAGAGAAACAGAGTTTTTTCTTAACATTTGTCAGTGCAGAGCGGTGGCCTTCAACTTCTTTCTGTCTATGGTCTAAAAAAGTACTTCCAGGGAAGGCACAGAGCACAGACACGGTAATTGTTTTCCACTCTGTTAAGAAATCGCTGCAAAAGGGAAGAATTAAGTTCCTCTCCTTTTTCTGTGGGGGCCAAGCATAGAGAAACAGGCTTCTACTAGAGCAAGTAGATGCAAGTTAGGTGCAGAAAACCGCCGCTGGTGCTGACGGGGCTGAGGACAGCGTGCTGGCTGTACCATCGGTGGCATTTAGCAGCAGGCCAGGCAAACACCTGTGAGAGATGTGCCGGCGTGGCTGGCCCTGCCCTGCAGTGGGGACAGACGCGCTGAGTCCCTTTCAGCAGCGCTGCAGGACCACAGGGACACTGTAGCAGGAGCGTGTTGGTGACCTGAGCCACCAAGCTGGTAACGCACGGTGACCCTTGCTGCTGTGACTCTCTGGGGCTGCGGTGACCTGGGGGACCATGGGGCCATAACCAGCCCCAGGGGGCTGCTTTGCTTTCAGATGCTGACCTACAACGAGGAGCTGCATCCTCGGTGGCCCACAGTGCCAGCAACAAGAACAAGACCAGGGAGTTTCTTTTGCTTTCACATGTACATATCCAACAGTGCTTTCTGCTGATGCTCATCATGGGTAATCCCAGTACTGGAATTAAAGAAGATCAAAATAATCATAAAAGTCTGTCATCCTGAGCAAGGCACGAAATGCTAGGGATCATTTCCTGAGAGAGGGAGATCACAACTTTACAATATGTTTTCCAAAACTTGGGGAAAAAAAATATTTCTGTTACAAACAGAACCTCATTGAGTAGATAATGGAATACATGGAATTAATCATCAGACATGATTCATTAGGAGGGGCAAGGCCAAGAAAGCTGGTGGCTTTTGTCTCCAAAAGCATGTCACTTGCACATGGGGACCGTCATCTCCCCCTCACAGCCCCAATTACAATGCAGGAATGCATTACCCATGATTTCATCTTGGGAGCCCTTTAAACAAGTGGGCCTTGAGCCCTCCAAAGCACTAGCAAGAGCCCACAGTGCCTCTTTCCCTCAGTGATCTCAAGGCTGAATTCACCCAGCACGTGTTCTTGCTGAGCAGTCATTAGTCAGCCTCCGAAACAAAGACTGTTCTCTGGGATGACGTGTGTACTGTCTTCAAGGAGATGCGTGGAGAGAACTAACAACCCAAAGGGCCAGGCTTGATTTGCCCGTGGTAAGGAGTTCTCCCAGCAAGCTTGGGGAGGAGCTGTTATTTGGAAACAAGATTGCTTGTGGCTGCTGAAGAGTGCA